GTGAAGTACAGAGACTTTGGGAGATGAGAGAGTGCAATGACAAAAACGAAAAAGAAAATAAACTCCCCCATGAGAGATAAAGTGTCAGCATGTTGCGTCGGAAAAGTATCTCAGCATTCCACCGTATTTTATTAGCTAAACCGTGTGTGGTGGGGTGTGCAGGTTTATAAGGTACACAATTAAACCGATTATTACGCTAAATTAATAATTGATCTCCACTGTGAACAATTGCAAGGCGGTGTTCACCCAACACACATGGGCAGCAAAAAACAAAAAGGGATGGCATATTGTCTGGTATGCAATTATCTGGTCACTTTGGTTAGCAAGGAATACTGCAATTTTTGGTGAAGGCAAAATGACTACAGATTGTGTGCTCAAAATGATACAAAACCAATCCTATCTTTGGATAAGTGGAAACTCAGAAGGCTGGCCTTATTCCTTTCTTGACTGGTGCCAAAAACCAAGCAACTGCTTTATAACAAAACGATGTAAAAATTTCTAATTTGTTGGTGCTAGTTCACTAACAAATCCTTTTCTTATGTTTACGGGTTGAGTACCCCTTGTACTCTTTTAATAAAATTATTTCCTTTAGCTTTTCAAAAAAAAAAGATTTATGAATGGAATGCTATTTCAGTGTATTACTTTGAAAAGATCAGTACATCATATATACAAGAAATAAGAGTAAAAGGCGGCTAAATCAACTGAGCTAAATCAGCTGAGAATCCTACTAAATAATAACTAAGAAATTCTATGAGATAAATACAAATATGCCAAATATATTTCAGATATACCAGATATTTCAAATAAATACCAAATATTATTTGCAATCCATAATTATCTGCAACCCATAATTATCTCCAATACTCCCCCTCAAGCTTGAGCATGAAAATTCCGAATGCCCAGCTTCTCACAAAGATAGAGGAAGCGGTCTTTGCCCAATGCCTTTGTGAAGATATCAGCAGGTTGATTTGCAGAAGCAATGGAGAGTGGAAGAATAAGACCAACTTGGTATTTCTCACGAACAACATGACAATCTATCTCAAGATGCTTTGTTCTTTCATGGAAAACAGGATTAGCAGCTATATGACGGGCAGCTCGATTGTCACAATATAATGGAGTAGGAGTAGGAAGTTGAATGCCAAAGGTGGACAATAAGCTATGCAACCAGATAATTTCTTTAGTTGTGGTGGCCATGGCACGGTACTCAGCCTCAGCAGAAGAAAGAGAGACTGTGTTTGGCTTCTTACTCTTCCTAGAAATAGGACTATTACTAAGAAAGATGCAGTAACCGGTGGTGGAGCGTTGAGTGGTGAGACAACTTGCCCAATCAGAATCACAAAAAGCAGTCAACTGGAGAGATCCCTTAGAAGAAAGTAAAATACCTTGACCTGGGGTTTTCTTTAAATATCGAAGCAATCGATGTGCTACATCCAAGTGACATTTCTGAGGAGACTGAAGAAACTGACTCAATGTGTTTACTATAAAGGAGATATCCGGCCTTGTAATGGTGAGATATATGAGACGACCAATCAGACGGCGATACATGGAACCATCAATAAGAGGAGAACCATCAGAAGGAAGAAGCTTCAGATTCTGCTCCATAGGTGTATCAGCAGTTCGAGATCCAAGAAGACCAGCATCATTAAGAAGCTCAATAGTGTACTTACGTTGAGAAAGATAGAGGCCTTGAGGGGAAGAAGCAACTTCAATACTTAGAAAATATTTGAGAGGACCTAAGTCCTTAAGGCGAAATTTGACTAAATAAGAATTCTTTCACCTGGTTGATTAGTTGAGGACTACTACCTGTAATTACCATATCATCAACATATACCAAGACATAAACACATGAAGCTCCACGAGACAAAGAAAAGAGAGAGTAATCTGCAAATGATTGAGTAAATCCAATAACAAGTAAAGCATGAGAAAATTTGGCAAACCAATTGCGTGATGCTTGCTTAAGACCATAAAGGGATTTGTTCAACTTGCAGACAAGACCATGCTCCCCCTTGCGAGGATGTCCAGGAGGCAATGACATATACACTTCTTCATGTAAATCACCATGGAGAAAGGCATTATGAACATCTAATTGATGTAGGGACCATTGTTTCATAGCAGCAATAGCCAAAAGAACCCGAACTGTCACAAGCTTAGCTACAGGTGCAAAAGTATCATGATAATCAATACCTTCAACTTGTGTATAACCTTTAGCAACAAGACGGGCTTTGTATCGATCGATGCTGCCATCAGATTTCCTTTTGATTTTATAAACCCATTTGCAACCAATCGGCTGTTTATCAGCAGGCAAAGAAACAAGAGACCATGTGTGAGTGTCTTCTAAGGCATTAAGTTCAGTCTGCATGGCCTCCCCCCACTTAGGAAACTTAGCAGCTTAGGTAAATGTTGCAAGAATGAAGGAAAGCACAATATGGGTGAGAAAAACAAGAATAACTCAAGTATTGATGAAGGGGAAAATGTGTACCTGAAGCCGGAGAAGATGATAGAGGAAGCACGTTGAAGCGCTGATAGTCCTTAAACCTTGATGGTATTTGGTTTCGTCGTTGAGAGCGTCTCAATCTGGTATGGGAACAATAGGAGGAGCTGGTGGAGGGTTGGTTGTAATGGAGGCGGGATGTAAAATGATATCATTTGTAGGTGAGGCAGGTGAAGGCAGGGAATCAGCTTGCTCCATTAAGGGAAAATCAATGTTTGAAATAGGAAGCGGAAGGCACAAAGTGGAGGCATCAGTGGTCACAACACTAGATGGGAAAACATTTTCATGAAAAGTAACATCACGACTAACATAAATCTTTTGAGTTCGAATGTCAAAAATTTTGTAACCTTTTTGTCCAAAAGGATAACCAATAAAGATGCCTGGATGTGCTCGAAAATCAAATTTATGTTTGATGTGGACATTATGTCCAAAGCATAAACACCCAAAGACACGCAAGTGCGCATATTTAGTAGCTTTATTAAACAAAATTTCAAAAGGTGTTCTGCCCTTAAGCACTTTTGAAGGTGTTCGATTAATAAGATACGTAGCAGTCAATATGCATTCACCCCAAAATTTTAAAGGAAGGTTGGAATGAAAACGAAGTGCCCTTGCAACATTTAACAAATGTCTATGTTTGGGTTCTACAACCCCATTTTGTTGAGGTGTATCTACACAACTGTGCTCATGAACAACACCAAGTGAGTTGAAAAAAGTAACAATATTAGTGCTAAAAAATTCTGCACCATTGTCACTACGAACACGACGTATGGTGGCATTAAATTGTGTTTTAACCATGAAGAAGAAATTTTGCAATATGCTGAATGTTTGAGATTTATGTTGCATTAAGAAAACCCAAGTATTGTGAGAAAAGTCATCCACAATCGTTAAGAAATAATGAGCCCCTGTGATGGATGGAGTAGAATAAGGCCCCCAAATATCCATATGAATTAAATCAAAACAATGAGATGTAGAGATAGAACTATTTGGAAAACTTATTCGACTTTGTTTAGCTAAAGGGTAGACATTACAAGGACAATTATTGAAAAAGGTAATCTTCTTATCTAAATTGGAAAATTGAGAATAAGTACTGTAACCAGGATGCCCAAGCCTGCAATGCCAAACGTCTAAGGGTGAAGTAGCTGTAGAAAGAGAAATATTTGGTGAATTGTTGTTGGTGGTGTCTAGGTAGTAAAGACCATCATGCTCCTTCACCAAACCAATCACCTTCTTCGTTAACAGGTCCTGGAAAATGCAACAATTAGGCAAAAATAAAACAGAACAATTTAAGGCTTTTGTTATTTTGCTGACGGATAAGAGGTTAAATTTAAATGAAGGGACATGAATAACTTGGTCTAAATGTAAGGAAGAGTTGAAACTAAGAGAACCAAAATGAGCAACGGGTACATGAGTTCCATTAGGTAACTTTACTGGAAGTCCATGATAAGGACATATGTCATGCAAAGAATGTGACTTACTAGTAATATGGCTTGTACAACCGGAATCCACAATCCAAGGAATATGAAATTGAGGAAAACTAGAAAGTTTACCTGCCATGTTGACTAATGGATTAGAATTAGAAGAATTTGTGATATTTGGTTGAATAAGGGAAAGAAGCTGTTGAATTTGTTCCCGAGTGAAAGGTTGGTCACAGTTTGAACGTAATGCCTCATGATCGACAGCTGCAGTCATAGGTCTATTCTGCAATCGTAATGAAACTCCCTAGTCTCACGCCTCTGTGGAAAATTGGAATTGCCTGGCTTTTTATGACAACGAGACTCAGAGTGACCATCCATCCCACAGAAATCACAATGATAGAAAGGTCTGGTACCCTTATTTTTGAAAGACTGACTCTGTCGATAGCCAGAATATGACCTCTGCACATTACTTGCAGCCATGGTAGATTGCTCTGGGTAAGGTGGTTGAGAAAATACTTGAATGGAGCACTGCCTCTCATCCTGTAAAACCAAAGATAGTGCTTTTGTAACAGTAGGTAAAGGACTCATTACCAGGATTTGGCTCCTCAAGTTGCTGTAAGATTCATTAAGTCCCATGAGAAATTGCATTAGGTGCCCCTGTTCTTCCAGTTGAATGATTTCAGACATAGTCCCACAAGTGCACGTAGGATAGGTGTTATAGATAGACAACTCATCCCATAAACTCTTCAACATGGTGTGATATGTTGTGATTGAATCATTTCTCTGCATATGATTCACAATGGACCTTTGAATTTCGAAAACACGTGGGGCATTATGTTGTGAGTACCGTTCCTTCAAATCAAGCCAAACTGCTCGAGCTGTCTTCATAAAGACCACACTATTGGCTATCTCCTTGGTGACAGCATTCAGAAGCCACGAAAGAACCATGCTATTGCAACGTTTCTAGATAGTATATGTTGCTGATGTAGCACTTGGTTCTGGAATTGTTCCATCAACAAATCCAAGTTTTTTTTTTGCTTCAAAAGCCATAGTAATTGCACGGCTCCATGTGGGATAATTGTTCCCTGTCATTAGTTGTGTCACAAGTGTAGTGCCTGGACCATCGGAATGATGCAGATAAAAGGGAGATGATGGATCTGCCTCCATGTTTGTTGTGCTTGTAAGAGGAGTTGCATTTTCTGTGGCGGCTGACATGGAAAAAAAAGTTTATGACTTATAGAAAGAAACGCAAGAAAGAATGCTCTGATACCATGATAGATTTATGAATGGAATGCTATTTCAGTGTATTACTTTGAAAAGATCAGTACATCATATATACAAGAAATCAGAGTAAAAGGCGGCTAAATCAACTGAGCTAAATCAGCTGAGAATCCTACTAAATAATAACTAAGAAATTGTATGAGATAAATACAAATATGCCAAATATATTTCAGATATACCAGATATTTCAAATAAATACTAGATATTATCTGCAATCCATAATCATCTGCAACCCATAATTATCTCCAATATGAACATTGAAAAGCATCAAATTAATTTTCATTTAAGAGTGTGATATAATGGAAAACATTGTCACATATTGCAAGAATTTATTCATTCAAACCCAATTGCCAGAAACTAAGATAGAAAAATAAGAGTAAATACATATCAGTAAAATTCAATATCTAGCAGGTGAGATTATCCCCGGTAGAAACACCAAGCTGACTGCAGTACTGAGTGTAATAGCTAACCCTAGCCTGAACAGCCGCCGAGTTTCCACCGTTGCACTCCAATGCACCATTAATGGCTCGGATGGTCGCACCAAACCCTTGCCCCAACACTGATTCAACATTGTTCACCCAATACCACAGGGCAGTCTTGAATGAGATGACGGGGTCCGTGGCCACTGTTTCGGGTGAGTTCAA